CGCACGCGCCGCTGCACCGCCCACGCGCCGCCGCCGTCGTCACGCACGCGCCGCCGTCGCTCCACCTTCGGTCCAGCTGCCGTTCGGTGGTGTTCCTGCAGCCCCGAGGATTGGTAATCGCAGCTTGTACGTGATTGGTTCTTGATTTCGATTCGTCGAAATCTCACGCTACAAGAGGTAAACAAATCGAAACTATCGTAAATTAATTCGAGCATGTTTTGTATGAATTATAATTTATGATTGTGAGTAATATGTGATTACGTGTTTCGATTTCATTAAATGATGAATAAGCATGTTTCGTGATTTTCGGTTTTATGTATTTTTAATTAAATCGAAAAATTACCATATGTATGGCGGAAGCGTTAAGGTACGTTGACTATATGATTAGTTTTGCATGTAATCGAAACTAGTTCGATATAAAATTTTTAAATTCCGCTGCGTATACATGCACGATCCCCAACAATATTATCTAGCCGATCGTAAATGATAGGAATGGTGATAAACCCTAGTTTAATAACAAACAAGATCGTGAACATGCAAACATAGAATATATGTAAATAGAATAGCGACAACTCAACACGGGAGGGCTTCGATTTAAAAGGGACTTCTAGGGTCAAATCCACCTATGTATAATCAACAACGATCTGCAAATCCATTATCTAAAGTCACATTCCTATTTGTTAACCCAGATGCTAAAGTACTCTAACCCCAGTCTCCAGTGTAGTTAAAGTCTACCCACAGGTCCGACGTCTCAGTTCAGAACCTGCTATTAAGAGAGCATTTAGGTCAAGTCCTTAAGGGCTACCCGAAGTGCATCACGTCTCCGTTTCCACACCCCGAGCTATGTTTTCCTAACTTCAAACAAGAAATCCTCTCTCAAGTTCATTCCTATTTAATATCAATCCGAGAGCTGATCAAACAATCAAAAGCATTTAATACAGAAAAACATAAACGAAATCAAAACACGACAAATAGATAACATAAATGAAGATCGAAATCAATATATACAAGGTTTCATTACCCTAGAAGAAAATGTTCTTAGTTCATAACAAACATAATGTCAAAAGAATGTACACAAGAAATGAAGAACAAAACGTAAAGAAATTGCGTAAGAAAAACCCAAGTCGAAACCCCCATTGATGATTCCCGCGAAGAACTGTCAAAAACCGTAAAAAGTCGAAGGAGAATGAAGAATGAAAGGGCCTTTCTATTTATAGTGAAATGCAAAGCTTCCTCAAGAAGCTTTACAAAATAAATATCTTTCTCAAAAGTCGTGCCCAGATCGCGATCTGGGTTGGCTGGATCACGATCTAGCAGCCTCGGGGAACTGCCCACCGCCATGCCAGATCGCGATCCGTATATGTGTATCGCGATCTGGGTCTTCAACAAATAAGCACTGTGAGACCCCCCAGATCGCGATACGGAGTGCTGGATCGCGATCTAGATCTTGAGTAAGAAGTCTTCTGTGAACACCCCTAGATCGCGATCTGGGTCTTGATACTTTTTCTTTCTGTGACAATCCCCAGACCGCGATATGCAGTTCCTGTATCGCGATCTGGGTCTTCTTGGCCCCAAAATTGGCCTGAAAATTCGGTTTCACTTTCAAATGGCTTCGACTCGGCAAAAATATGTAATAAAACCTAGAAATAAAAATAAAACAAGAAACGCAATAATATATACAAATAAAGCCGAAACTCGGACGAACGAACACCAAAACTCGAAGATTTGATAAGCAAAAATCGTGCAAAATGAACACTTATCACCGATACAATATATTTTGAATAGTTTTACCTATGTTTGTCAAATGTTTTCTAAATTTTATTGGTTCGACTTAAGAAATGACCACCGGTTGTAAACTGGCGGTTCACTAACCAGAACCGGTTATTCACGTTTGAAAAACACACGACTCTTAACCTATTATTAAGAGTAAAGGTTTGATTTTGTTTCAAAATCGCTGGTTCAAAGATGGTTAAACATCGATTTTTGTATATTTTGAAAAATCTTTCGATTTGTATGTTGGAAACCCGACTTGCTGAATTGTTTTCTGACGAGTTGGGCGATTCCACCTGCCAATTTGGTCAAACTTTCAATACTGAACAATAATTTTTTAATCAATTTTCTTTAAGGGACAAATAATCAAGGCCGTAGATTCTTTTATGGGCCAATTATATATAACCCCAAAGGGAAGGACTTAAATGCACATATGTCCCTCATGATTTAATTTAAATCACTTTCATCTATTAAACGCTAACTTCACCAATAGTGCACACTGACCGTAGATTTAACAAATATCTCACATTCACCCCATATTCACAATTTTTTTTTTTTAAATAAATTTTTTTTCAGATTTTTTTCCTCTCATCAGTCTCCGGCGTTGATTTTTATTTTAACAACAAACATAGTAATTTTACTATCTCAAATAATAAAATTATTGTCTGAGACTGTGATATTGCATTTGAGACAGGAAAATTACTGACTTAGACGGTAATATTGCAGGCTGAGACAGTAATATTAATATTAACACACTAATACTATTGTCTGAGACAGTGTTATTAATGTTGACACAATAATATTACTGAAAAGAGTTAAAAAGTTAGACAGTATTATTAATGTTAACACAATAATATTATTGAAAAGAGTTAAAAACAATTAAAAAAAAATCAACGTCGAAGATCGGCAGTCAATAGCGATCTGCAAGAAAAGAATATGATGGAAAGAAAAAAAAAAAACTCAACATCGCAGACCCGCGATCACCGACGCTGACAGTCAACGAGGTTGGCCGTCAAAATTGGATTACATGTCAAAGTTATAAGTGTTTCAGCCGCCACATACTCATCCCCACACATTTCATTCTTTCTCCATACAGATTTAAAGGTGAAGAAGGATATAGACGATTTACAAAACAAATATGGGAAAAAAAGGAAAACATACCCTAGACAATGCTCATATGTGAAGGAAGAACGAATACGTGATGTTTAGTACTGCAAAATTGGAAGTGAGAGATCGTGAGCTCAGTCTCAAGAAATCCCTAACCCTAGTCAATATATGTCGCCGCAATAGAATCCTCATCATAGTCTATGTCGCGGACTTTCAAAAGTTGTTTGTGATTTAGGCCATGGTGGTGGCGGAGTAGAGTGGAGAGAGAGTAGTGAGATCCAGATAAATGAAACATCAGATCGAGAGAGGTGAGGAAGAGAGAACATCGACAAATCTTGAGAAAGTGAGGAAGATATTAGGGTTAAGGCAAATAAGGATAATATTAGTATTATACTACTATTAAGAGGCTAAATTATTAACTAGGGGCTATTAGTGAGAACCCCTTTTATATTTTTTTTAATAAGGATGGATCTAGTCACTTTTCCTTTATTAGTGATAGATCTAGTTTTTTTTTTTTTTTTTTTTAAATCCCAATTTTACCATTTCCTACTATTTACTACACATTACTCATTGTTTAATTTTTTGTTTTCTTTTTTTTTTTAATTTTCGTTTTCTTTATTTAAAAATAATATTTTTTTCAAAAATTTCTTTTAAAATATTTTTTAATATTATGTTTCCAGCAATTTTTTCTCTTTCTTTTCCAAAATTAATTATAAAATATTTGAAATCAACTTCAATATTTCTAAATCAACTACAATTTCTCATTTATTTTTTCATTTTCATTGTTTTTAATCAATTTTTTTCCGATTTTTTTTCCAGCTAATTTACGATGTTGACAAATTACTACGTATTAATGAAAACAACTATATAAAAATCGACATCAACTACAAAAATTCAGAATCAAGTAGAAAAAAAAAACAAAAAATACATCAACTACAATTTCTTTTTTATTTCATTTTTTACTTCATTTTTTTTCAATTTTATTTTTCTAGCATGTCATATTATTGAAAACAAACTATAAAAATTCGAAATCAACTACCAAAAAATAAAAAAAATCAACTAAAATTGTATCGAAAACAACTATAAACTATCGAAAACAACAAAAACAAAAATAACAGAATAACGAAACAACTACCAAAATTGCAGAATAGCAAAAACAACCATATTGCTACGTAATATACCCAACATCAAAATTGCACCAAAAATTTAAAAAAATCAAAACGATGGCGGCGGTGGGGCAGAGGTGGAAGGGGGGGGAGGAGGCGGCGGCGGCAAGGTCACCATATTCGGCGGCGGAGACAAAGGTTGGAGGTAGAGAGGGATTTATATGTTCTTGATGTCGTCTTCTACAACTAGATCTCGAGATACGGCAACAAGGATGAATTTTTTTCGATCTAGTTCAGAGGTGGTGCCGAGCGGAGATGGCGACGACGACAATATAGAGGCGTCGTCATGTGGAGGTGGAAGGGGAGGAGATGGTGGCGGCTTGTGGGGAAGGAAGAGAAAGAAGAAAAAAAGGGAGGGGAAAAAACCGTGATTAATGGTGACCGGATTAAAAAATAATTAGAGTTATGGATAATATAGATTTATCATTTATAATTATATAAAATATTTATTTAATTAAACAATTAAGGGAGATTTCACTAATAACACAAAAAGAAATTGATCCACCCATACCTAAATGATTTGGGTTCTTAGTTCTCACTAATAATCCCTATTAACTAAGGGATTTTCTTAAGTTATTTATTTAAGAGATTCTACCTCAGATGTTTTTTTTCAAATGAGGTGTCTCACTAATTATTCCTTTTATTTTTTCTTCTAAAATTTAAACAGCTTGAGGGTTTATCAATTTGGACATGAAAATTGTGTTACACACACACACACACAAAAAAGAAAAGAAAAGAAGAGAAATAAAAAAAAAAAAATAAAGCGAGATCGATAACACTTAAACAAGAAGACCATTATCTTTCTTCTGCTGCAAACATGTAAAGCAACTAAATATATGTTGCCATTGATTATCCTAATTAATCAAGAACATATACAAACTTCTCTAACTCCACCTAATAATTCCCCAAGCAATTACTAAATTGCTAACATATATAGAAAAAAGTTTAACTAATTAATCAGAAGATTATATCACTAGAACTAGACGAAAAGCAATCGGAGAAAAAATACATAAACTCGTCATCTTCATCATAATTAAAATCCCCACCATAGCCATCAGACGATTTTACACCACCGCTTCGATTATCTTCCTTCGAAGACGAAGAGTACTTAACACGACATCTTCGAGAGTTGGAATCGTTGCTAACCATTCCCATTAGCTTTCTCTTCTTGTAATTTGCCTTGAAAAACGACTGCCTTAACCTCTTCGTTTTGTCCTCTAATTGCATGTCCGGAATTTCTTCCATTAGTTTCTTCTCTTGTACTAATGTCTCTAGTGAGCCTTTCAACTTTGTAGTTTCTCCTTCCTCCCCATTTTCCTGCAAGAATATTATATCATATTCATTACAAAAGAATTATTAGTGTAATACTTAATTATATTCTCTTTAATTATATTTAAATAATTTGGCAGGTTAATTATTTATACTGATATTTCTACTAAAAGGGCAATGGTCCTCCTCAATGTACTAGTTTTAATACACACACACACACACACACATACACACGTGTGTGTATATATATATATAAATACATATATACATGCATATATATTGTTTTTTCAAGAAAATGCATTTTTTCATATTTTTTTATTTCACAGTTCTTTTTAATCTTGAATCAAACAAGGGTTTGTTACGAAATCAAAAATTTCTGCCAAATTTATCCTTATATGCTTCACAAACAATCACACAGTGGCAGAGAGAGAGAGAGAGAGAGAGAGAGAGAGAGAGAGAGAGAGGTATGCCTGGACATTCTTGATTAGGGTTTGAAGGCTCATGAGTTTGCGGTGGGGCCAGCGGCGAATACCCAACTCCCTGCACCTTTTCTTCAAAAGGGTTAGTCCAACATTGAGCTCTCTTGCAGCTTGAGTTATGGGCATGTAAAAGTACTGCGAAACGGTTTCCCTCGACAACAACTTCTTCGAACTACCACTATTATTCACTTCAACTTGATCTTCTTGTTCTTCCTTTCTAGTTGTACTAATGATATTATTAGTACTACTCTGAACAAGTACTTGTTTATTATTATTAATATTCTCATGATTTTCCACCACCAATATTTCCTGATGATGAACATTATTATCAAATATAATATTCTGATCATTGTGCGGCAATTGTACTAATTGGTCAGTTGCCCCCTGAAATTCTGTCCATGCTTCATTCCAACCCCCTGCGTTGCAAAAGTAAACCTCTGCAAATATACATACATACACATAATCATTACAGAGAAAATGGAAGAGATAGAGAGAGAGATTTATAGAGAGAGAGATCGAGAGAGGAGAGAGAATTATATATATACATATACACTTAGCATGAGATAATGGTTTTCTGAAAGATCAAGGGGTGACAAAAAGGAGAGAGAGAGAGAGAGAGAGAGAGAGAGAAACCTGGGATGAGATTAAGGTTATCTGAAAGATGAAGGGGAGAAAAGAAGGGGTCGGTCTGAAGCATATCAGACAGATGAGGAACAGTATCATCAAAAAGAGAATCTTCTTGATCTTGCATGAACGCCATTCCACTACGCTGCTGGAATTCCCACCCATTCAAACCACCACCACCACCACTAAATCCACTAGTACTGCCAATACAATTTACACACACACACACACACACACTGTGAGTTATATATATGATCAGCAGTATATATGTATACTTTTATATATAGTAGTAGTTCAATAAATAAAATAATATAACCTGAAATCAAGTGGGGGAAGTTGGGAAGAAGGGAAGGAGTTATTATAAACTTCTTCTTCTTTCGTAATTACGTGACAATAACTATTTGACCATGCCTTAGTCGCTGCTTCCATTTTCACACTGAGTGTGTGTTTGTGTGTGTGTGTTTTTTTTTCTGGTTTTTTGGAGTACGAGTATCGGTAGTGGTGATAGGGTATGCAAGGGTGGTGGTGGTGGGAATGTATTTATATTTATACGGAAGAGAAGAAGACGAGGCCCCATTATTATTATTATTAGGTTATTAATTAATTATTAATATTTAATGTTGAATAAATGGTGTGAATGTAATTATGGTGATTTACTGCACAGAAGATCGTGCGCCGTCGCATCGATTAAAAACGTTCAAGTACACTACTCCTTCATGCATGCACATCTACTATGTATGTATGTATCATGTATGTATTTGTATCTGCGTTTTTTTTCTTTTTTCTTTTTTTGGGTATATAACTCAAATACATATATAGTGTGCATGATTTATTTTATGTATATATCTGTGTATATATATACAGCAGTCGTTGATTAACGTGGAATCTCGTGTGAGAAATGAACATGATTGTTGGAGAGAGATAATTTTGTGGATAAGTTGGAATTAATTAATTAGGGTTTCTAATAATTAGTTGGGCTATGAACTTGGAACTTGGAACTTGGAATATTCACAATACTATCATTAGATTCCTTTTATTCTCAACATTTTTCTTGAATTTTCTTCTTTTTCTCTTTTCCTTTTTTTTTTATTTCTTTTTTTATTTTGGTATATGTTATCTAATTATGAATTGGATAACTAGTAGTAACATATTTATCTCAAATATGTATAGGGATTATATTAGGACCTTCATATGAAAATTATATATAACTAACCACTAGGGGATCGGATTATACCCCGATACAAATCCCCTTCTTTTTTATAATAATTTTTGATGTACCTTAGATCAATTTGAAGTATTTAAAATGTCATTTTAAATCAGTTTTAAACCTTAGCCAATTCACATGGGTCTTTCTTTTCCTCTCTCAACTCCCAGATCAAAATCTCGCCCTAAGGTCTCCAACCAGCGATGTTGCTTTCGGGAGTCATAACTCTCTCTCTCCGGTAGTCGGCATTTGATGGTTAACTATCGTTGGATTTCTCTCGTCGAGCTCTTTCTTTTGGTGTTTTGGCGTACTAGATTCTGTTTCTGCAATTATTTTTCAATCAGCGGGCATTTCAACGACGGTGGGTCTTTCAGGTGGAGTAATTTGTGTTCCGACAGTCGAAGTTTGACGGGCTACCCACCATTTCGCTGCTATGATCTCGCTCTCTCTCGATCTCTTAGTGGTTGCTGATATTGAGTGTTTTGATGTTTCTTCAATTTTTGTTGATTTGCACTAATTTTGTTTTTTTTTTTGTTTTGAGTTAGCAATTGCAGCGTAATGGAAGGCATTGATCCTCTCCTTGAAGGTGTCAAAAAAATTGGTTGAAGTTACATATGCTTCAAGTTACAGTGTTCTGCAGATTGTATACATTAGTGTACATTATTGTACATTACTAGTTACATATAGTAACATGTAGTTTCATAAGCATAAATTTGTTTATTTTTTATTTGTATTTGTTGGTTCTGAGCTGATTTATAATTTAAATATTGAAATTGTAAATTTTTGTTGTTGGAGTTTATGAATTTCTTTTGTATAAGCCAATATTCGTGTGTGTATAAAATTGGTCGAATAAAAACTTGGGTTAAAAAGAAAGAACATAACTAGGAATGACTATAGTTTACTACAGTTACATGTAGATATTTTCAGTACAGTAAACATATTGATTTAAAAAATAATAATAAAATATATAAATAAAAAATAATAAATTAAACAAACATGTATTTTAAAAAAATAATAATAAATCAGTAAAAATGCTAAATGCTAAATGCAGGCCGAAAATGTTGAATGTAATTTGGCCAAGAATTGCACGTAAGGATATTATATAGTATTTTCGCCTCTCTAGAGGGTACACCAAAATATGATTTTGGCTTGGATTTATCCATAGTTTATTATGCAACTAGGGATGTATATTAAATAAGCCCATATGTATATGTTATGCAATTACGAATTACTATATCAAATATGTCAAATATGAGCTTATAAGATGTTTATAAGCTTATAAGCTCTTCCAATGTGTTTAGTAAATTTTAAGAAAAGATCTTATTTTTTATAATAAGTTACTGGAGAGCAAATAAGTTTTTTTTTTTCGAAGAACCTCTACCTCACCTTTTATGTAAGATCTTATTATGAAAAAAAATAACTTATAAAATCATTATCCAAACACTGTAAAATTAATTCTAAAAATAAGATATAACAACTTATAATCAACTCTTAAAACATCTTACAGACACAAGAGCTTATCAGCTCTTTAAAATAAGCTTAGTCAAACGAACCCTTAGACAACAGTCCCTACACTAATAAATCGATAGAAACAATGAGAGTCATATATACAAAGTGTCTACAGTCCAAAAGTGGCCTGTTAATTATATACTCCATCCGTTTCATATTAATTACCCTTTAGATTATTGTGATCGTAATTAATGGAGAAAAAAATATTAGAGAAATAAATAATAAGAAAGGGTAATTTAGTCGATGAAGTACATATTTCCTAAATTTTGTACGTATTTATTATTCCTTCGTTCCTTTAACTGTCATTTTTCAGTTTTACGCAAATATTAAGGATTTTAATAAATATGACTTGATTTTAGAAATAAAAAAAACACATAAAAAAAAACTAAAACAAAATTATTATTTAATGATGTGATAAAGAGAAAGTTGATACTTAGTAAAATTGAAGTAATAAGGATTTAAGAGAAGAAAAAAATCATTTAATGCAGTACTGAAACTCTAAAGTGACAGATGATGTGGAACAACAATATTTTTATAAAGTGAAATTATTATGACATCGGATATAGTAGTTTTATTAATACGTGTGACGCAATCATGAACGACGTACAATTAAATTTCTATAAATTAATACAGCCGAGACTAACAAAATCTATTAATTTGGCGAAATATTAACTTATCGAACTAACTTAATACATATTTATCGAGTTAGGCCAGAAGAAACTATTAATTAAGCGAGTTTGTTAATTTATCAAGTATTAATATATAGAGACTCCACTGTATAATTGAACTGATGTAGTATATCAAAGTGATAGCATATGATAAAAAAAAAAAATCTCTTTAGTAATATATGATAATTAATATCTGAAATGAAATTACTCCCTTCATTCTGCATTTACTGCTGCCGTTTGCTGCATATGAAATTTAGAAAACGGTTTAAAAGAGAGAAAAAATGATTTTTGTACACTATTCACCTTAAAAGTTTGCCTAAGTGATAATATTGTTATATCCATATGTTAAACTAATAAGAAGAAAAACATTGACTTTAAAATCTAAGGTTTATTTTAAAATATAAGGCCCCGTTTTGTTGGCAAGATAAGATTAAATAATCTAAAGAAACCCAATTATTTAATTGGAGCTTGAAACGTCCAACAAAAAAAAAACTCATTAGAAGGCAAGATAAGCCAAGATAAGCCATGATTATATAATTTTGGCGGGTCGACCCGACAATTTATTGAGAATACCAAACATCAAATTAAGTCCAATTATTTAGTTAATTATAACTTATCTTGGCAACCAAACGTGGCCTAAAAAGAATAGAGTTTATAATTTTTTTTTTTTGCTATATTAAAAACTGTTAAAAAAGATAGTTTTTACTACTGTGACAATTTGGGGAATACAATAAATGCTAGGACCATAGCCAAAAAATATTCGATACGATTGTTTGCTATAGTAAAACTTTTGTCACACATGTATTCACTAAATTCATAGTAAAATTGTGGCAATTTTTTTTTACTACAAACTTAGTATCTCAAGCTACGAACTTATTTGATGGTAAAAACCCCTTGCACCTCTTGACAAAAAAAAAAAAGATAAAAAAAAAATCCTTGCACCTATGAGTCACTCGAATGGGAATGGATGAACTAGCTAAAAAAATTGTTGTTTGTTTTCCACCCGAATAAAATATTATTATTAATATTTCTTGTTTCAGTGGGAATGGAATAAGGATAATAATATAAATTTTGTGTCATGTAGTCACCATGTATAGTAATGCCAATAACTATTATTATTATTATTGTTTTTTTTTTAAGTATTAATTGATTAAGGGGTTATTTTACATACCCCTAGCCACCAAATAAACTAGGGATTCCAAATCATCCTTTGACATTCCCCTGGAGAAAAGAAACGACAATACAACTCTTATATGCAATTTTCGGTCAAACTGTATTCAACATTTATGATCCTGCATTTATCATTTTCGCTGATTTATTTATTATTATTATTATTATTATTATTATTATTATTATTATTATTATTATTATTATTATTATTATTATTATTATTTTTTCTAATAAACCTGTTTGTTAAATTTATATATATATATATATATATATATATATATATATATATATATATATATTATTATTTAACCTGTTTGTTAAATTTATATATTTTTTAATTATTATTATTATTATTTTTTAATCAATATGTTTACTGTACGGAAAATAACAACATGTAACTGTAGTAAACTATAGTCATTCGTAGTTATGTTCGTTTTTTTGACCCCATGTTTTAGTCGACCAATTGTCTACAAACACAAATATTGGTTTATACAAATGGAATTCATAAATCCCAACAACAAAATTTTACAATTTCAATATTTATATTATAAATCACCTCATAACCAACAAATATAAATCGGAAAT